ATACTAGCAACTTGTTGAAGTCTCAGAAAAACCCAGACAGACCCCTGAAGTATTCTTTAAATTCTCTATTTCATCTAGTCTTTAAATTTTAATCATGCATTTGTTTCAAAATGGTTGCTATGCATTCAAAGCCATGTATTATAATGAAAAATTATTTTAGTTAGAGCTTCTAAAATATTGTTACAATATAGTTTTAATATTAAGTTAATTTGATTAAACATTTATAATTTTTTTTAATCATAAATTAAAGTTCTTACAGTGTATTTGAATAAAAATCAAAAAAATCTGATTTAAATCAAAAAAATCCGATTTAAATCAAAAAAATCTGATTCTTTTGATTTTTTCAAAAAAAATCACAAACCTTGACTGAAAGTTACTTTCCCTTACAAAAATTCTTTGCTTCTGTTATAGCTTTTGCTTTTGAAAATGTTTATATCTTTTTTAATGTAATGAGAAATGTTTTAGATTTTGTTCTGAAATTTGTTTTCAACTGTTAGTTTTTTCTTTGAGTAATTTCATAACAAAAAAACATCTATTCAGCAAATATTGAAATTCAATTTTGATTGAAGTTGTGATTAAGTAATATATCGTACTGGATTTGAACAATAAAACTAAAACTTAATGCAAAAATACAACCAAATTTCTCAGGCCAGCCTACTTTTTTTTAGGCTGGCTAGGCTAGGCTACTTACTGTTCTAGTTTTCTGTTGTTTTTTAATTTACTCTTTAACATATACCATGTCTGCAAGATTGAAAACTATAAAACTTACTTTTTGGTGAATTTTACTTTCGATTTAGTTAAATTTCTATTAATTTTAACATTAATTTTAATTAAAAGTTTTGAAATACTTTTACTGTAAGCTCTTATTTAGTAAAGACATAAATTTCTAATAAATTTTTAAGGTTTGTGTTTTGATTTTTTATTCATAATAAAGGGTAAGATATTCTTTTATTTGCTTTCATAAGGCTTCATCATTTTCATAATTTGCTTCCATTTTTAAAACATTTGCTTTTAACCAAAGAAAAGGAAAAAAATATTATCACTAAGATAACAATCCTATCCAGTTGTCATATTCTGCGTATTTTATTTTTGGCAATATTATTTTATTTAGTTGAGGATGAGTAAGATTCTAAATACTATGAATTCACATAATGCTTATATATTTATTAGTTTCTTTTGTGAGATGATTTAGTATTTTTAAAAAGATTTTTTTTATGAACTAGTTTCTGTGATGCAGAATATCTGTGTATTGCAGAAATGCTAATAAATTTATTAATAATTGAACTTAAGCATTTTTGTAAATCAAATCTGGAAGAAGCTCAGATAAATTAAGTTTTTATTTTATTTAATTTGCATCACATAATATTAGTAGCAAATTAATCTTAAATAATTTGATTTATTTATAGTATGATTATTTATTATCATTTCATCTCTTCAGTGTTTTTAAATATATGCAGAAAAATAGCATTTTATTTCAATTTACATGACTCAAGATACATCCTTTTTTTTCTTTTAAAATTTCATCCTTTTTTAATTTTTGAATCTTTGGCATCATGCAGGTAGGGATTATAGATTTAAATTAAACCGGGATGCCATTTTAAACAATATATTATATTATGGTGCGAATTAAAGTAAATTTATTTTACAATAAAATAGATGAGTTGAAATATGTAAGTGTGCATATATTTTGATATAGTCATGATAAAAAGAAGGCAATAATTGAATTTTGTAATAACAATTTAAGGCCGAAAATAGTATAAAAAGTATTTAAATTAAGGGGAATGTGATCGTTAAGGAAAGTGGTAGTACAATGTTATCGTGGGATAACAATAACCAAATAGGTTCAAAAGGTCACAAAGTGTGAGGTTTGAACAAATTGGATAAATTGATATTGCCAAATTTGGAATAAGGGTGAAAACTAAAAATTAATCAAAATCAAAGATTAAAGATAAATAAGATAATGAAATGCTATATCCAAAATAAAATATATCACATAACTGAATTTAGTGATGTTTCCAAAGAGAAATAAAACAAATACCCATTACAAATAAAAGAAGTACTCACCATATACAGGAAAGTTTGATGAAAAAAAGCACTAAATAAGGAGTCATAGAAGAACAACAGAATCTTTTACTAATTTTCTAACTCTCACGCCCACAACCAAAAACAGATAATTGAATAAGAAGCTAGGGAAATAATTTTTAGCAAATACTAAGGTTTTGGCAGAGAAATGGGTGACAAAAGAGTAAATTCGAAATCTTATAAGGGTTCGCAATCAAAGGTAAATTTAAAGAGTTATAGGATAAATACAAAAAAAAATCATTTAAATTATAGAAATTAATGATTTTCAAAGAAAATTTAAAGATACGAAAGGGTTGATATAAAGAACATTGAATTACTGAAGTTAATAAAGATTTTGAAGATTTTACATTAATATTTTGAGTAAAAAAAGTAGGATGTGGGAGGAAGAATTAATTCCCTCGATACAGACGGAATTCTGCATCTCGGAGAAGGAGTAGAGGTGTCATCAAGAGAGGCAATGTAAAAGTTTCTTTAAAAAATTCGTTAACTGGTATGGAACCAGAAAATTGATAACCAATTAAATTTATAGAGGAGGAGAGTTTGAAAGTCAAAGGAAGAAGTTTGGTTAAGTTAGCCCCCTTAAAATAAAGAAAGAAAAAAGAAAGGTAGGAATTGAGGGGTATCTCTCCCCACAGGAAGTGCAATGACTGCATTGACCATCAAGGAAGGTCAAACAGAAAGTTTAAATAAATTTAAACTGCTATATATAAAAAAAGGAAATAAAGGTTTAAGAAAATTAAAAGATTAGATATAAATAAAAGATTGAATATAAATAAAAGAAAAAATTTTTACATTACACAAAGTGTAAATGTGACAAGGGATATAAAATTAAACAAAAATTAATCAAGAATTTTTCATCAGAAGTGTCTGCTGTTGACTCCCAAATAGCAGAATTAAAACAAAAATTATTTTTTGTGTTGGTTGAGACAAAATATTGTTTAAAATTTTTTTTTCTGTCTGTTATATGATATATTTCTTTTGTCTTTACTACCATTTTTTCACTGAATTATGGGGTTATATTTTTTAATTGAAATAAAATATACAATATAATGTATAATATAAATTTTTTGTGGTTCATTGTATATTTTGACCACAGCACTGTCAGTACATACTGCGATGTTAAACTGATGTTTTAAAAATATTTCTGGAAAGCCTGGAAAAGTGGGAATTTTCTTCATCTATTTGTGCAACAACCCTGTATAAACTTTACTTGAATTAGTAGTTCAATTAGGATCATAAGTAATAATTTAGCAACTAAATTTTTTCTAAGCAACAACGTTGTTTAAATACACAAATAACTTACCGTATCGATTGATTAAGAAAAGTCTACAATGGCACATTTTGAATTTTTTTACCTTCTTGAATTTATGAGAAGTCTTTATTTTTGACAGATATAGCCTGTTTATTACATGCCAAAGAAATAGAAAGAAAAAATTAAAACTAGAGATGAAAAATAATATTATGCAATATCGTGCATTATCAGCCTACTTTAACTTTACAAAAGGCATTTACGGTGCATTCTGAATACATGCATATAATATTTTAAACCTTTTTTTCATACTTCTGAATATATTCCTACAATTTTTTTCAACTTACAGGTTTGTTGAGTGTAATGACTGTGGAAGAAAATTGCATCAAATCTGTGTTCTACATTTTGATGTGATTTGGCCAGAAGGGTAAGGTTCATAAATGTTCTTTTTCATATTAGACATTCTCTAATTAAATTTTAATTTAATTTCATCTTAGATCTAATGTTCTTATAATGTCATGTTTTTTTAAAATTTCAATCTGATATTAGTTATGGGAAAGTAAGGCACAGTAGACCCATGTATTATAAAAACCATGTGTATGATTGTTAGGTCTTAAATTAGAGTTTTTCTTAAAAAATTATTGCTATTAGAAAATTTATGTGAGTGATTTTTAATATTTAAAATATGTTCAAGTGTTTTTTAGGTAGATAAGTTAAAATTGTTTTAGAAACTCATTAATTAGATTAATGTGTGCCACCTTTCATACATATTAAATATCCTTAAGGTTTTTACCAATGAATTTAAAAAGTGTGACATATTAATGACAATAATTAGGTTAGAAAGATATTCACACTAAATTTGGTACCTTACCTAGTTATTGTTACTTTCTTACACCTTTAATTTTTAATTTTATGTAATAATTCTCTTTTCAGCTTTACCTGTGATAACTGCCTGAAGAGTAAAGGTAAAAAGAGAAAAGAAAATAAGTTTACTTCTAAAAGTAAGTTACATCTATAGTTGCATATCTACTTTCTTTACGAACTAAGGTAGACAACGTTAAAGAGCACAAAAATATTATTAAAAGCAGACAGCTGTTTCGGATGCTCAAAGGGCAACCTTCATCAGTGCAACAGAAAACAATAAGAGAACAGAGTAAATATATATAGAAAGATGACGTCACAAGAGGGTTTAGACCAACGGCCAATAGGAGGGAAGGGTGAATGGAAGACGGCGAATAGGAAGCAAGGAACAAAAAGGGGGAGGTTAGTTAGGTTTTATCATAGATTTCCAAACAGGAGAAATATAAGGAACACTTGAGGTCATTGACCAACAGTTTGGAATTTTTGAAAATATGATAAGACTCATAAAAATCTGAATCATATATTGAGGAACAATTTTGAATGACTTTAGAAGAGGAAAAATTAAAATTATGATTAGAGTCCCAACAATGTTGGGCAATAGATGAGCGTTTAAATTCTTGTTTTTTGACATAAGCTTCATGTTCCTTGACACGGCACTCGAAGGCACGCTTAGTTTGGCCAATATATGAAAGGAACAAATCAATACCTCTGGGGGTACCGATACAGAAGTTTCCTTGTCTTCTGGATTGGTTCAAAATTACAAGGCTACGGCGTTGAACATTTGTAGTTGTAAACCCAAGAATTGGGTCGACTGTTCAACGGCGGTCATAAAATAAAATAAAATAAAATATATGAAAGGCCGCATTGGCAATTAATTTGGTATATACCCCAGTTATTTTGACTGTCAATGGGCTGTTTGAGATTAGAAAATTTTATCTTATTAATGGGACTGAAAATAATATTGAAATCAAACTTCATTAGGATGTTAGCAACTTGCCGACTTATTTTAGGAAAATAGGGTAAAATTACCAAATTGTTAGAAAATTCTTTGGAAGGTTTATCGGTAGGCGATTGTTTAGTTACGTTTTTATAAATATTATCAATAATGCTAGGGGAATAACCTCTGTCATGAGCAATGGCTTTGATGTAGTTTAATTCTGCATCAAGAAGATCAATATTGGAACAAATATTAACAGCACGGTGGACAAAAGACCGAAAAGAGGCAAGTTTTTGGTTGGGAGGGTGGGCGGATTTGTAATGAGGGGGAAGAGAAACAGCAAAAGGTTTACGAAAGACAGTAGTATGGAATGAATTATCATTCCGAGTCACAAGCACATCTAAGAAAGGAAGTTTTTGATCAGACTCTAATTCAAAGGTGAACTGAATGCAAGAATCAATGCTGTTCATAACATTAAGGATTTGATCTAAATTACAATTATTTTCCTCTAACAAAGCAAAACTGTCATCAACGTATCTTTTATAAAAGGGGAAAGTTAAGATTTTGAATAGTTTACTTTCAAAATAATGCATATAGATGTCACTAAGTATAGGGCTCAAAGGATTTCCCATGGCAAGACCATTGGTCATACGGTAAAATTTGTTGTCAAACGCGAAAGTATTTTGTTGTAAACAAACACGGGTAAGGTTAACATATTCATTGACCTCATATTGGGAAAAATGATATTCCGAAAGTCTAAGTTTTAGGCATTCCAAAGCCCCCTCAACAGGAACATTAGTGAACAGTGATTTTACATCAAATGAGGCCATCAAATAACCATTAGGTTTTAGATTTTTAACTTCTTTAACAAACTCAAGGGAATTTTTGGTAGTAAAAGAATTATTACCAAGGAGAGGGGAGAAGACAGAAACTAAAAATTTTGCGAGTTTGTAAGACGAGGTACCAATGTTGGAGACAATTGGTCTAAAAGGAGTGCCAACTTTATGTACCTTAGGTAAAGAATAAAATCTAGCGCAATGAGAAACAGAGGGAGTCAAAACAACCTTAAGTCTATTGGGAATTAACATAGAGGATTTAATAGTTGATTTTATAACATTTAATTCTTTAGTGCTCGGATCTTTGGGAATTTCTTTATAAGGACCATCAAGAATAAGTTGTTTAGATTTCTCCAAATAGTCTGTTTTGTTTAGAAGAACAATTTGACCACCTTTGTCAGCTTTGGTAACGATTAAGTTGGGATTGGACTTTATATCTTTAAGAATTACTTTAGAGGAAAGGCTAAGGTTTGAATTAGATATTTTTGAGTTGAAGTCTACGGTATTGGCAATAAGGTGTCTGATAGAATCTTTTTGAGCATCATTAATTTTACTGAATTTAAAAGATCTTTCGATAGGAGCAATGAGTTTAGGTAATGAAGGTCGAGTTGAAATAGCAAAATTATTGTTAAGTTTTAAAGCATTAATTTGAACATCAGTAAGAGTGGTATTTGAGAGATTAACTACAGAATTTTGATTAACAACAGGCAAACTAACGTCAGGTTTTTTATCATTAACTTTGATGAGTTTACTCAACTTATTATTCAGGTTTAAACTATGTTTTGAAGAGATTTTGGTTGCCCTATTCCAAGACGATTTTTCCATTGCGTCAAAATTTGAATTTAGATTAGGCACACTGATGTGTAAATGGTACAATTCGCGTTCAATTTTGGATAGTTTATTCCTAGTTTCATTAATGACGGCTCTAAGGAGAGCAAACTTAGTCTTGTGAAGAATGCAATTAACTTTCTTGGAATAAGGAAGGTTAGTCTTAAATTTAATGAAATGAGGAATAATATTTAGGCGTTTACAATCAAGTAAAAAATGCAAGTGATTAAGATACCTAAACTTCTTAGTCCTTAGACTATGAAATCTGTTGAATTGAATGATCAATGAAGTATAAAATACTGATAGGAAACAGCAATAACAAATATGAAAGACATAGAATAGAATGGAAACAATAATAATAATAAGACTTACCCAGTAAGACCCGTTGAAGTCAATCATAAATACACAAGTGGGCGACCTTTGTGCTAAAATACGAACTAAGGTAGACAACGTTAAAGAGCACAAAAATATTATTAAAAGCAGACAGCTGTTTCGTAACAGCTGTCGAAACAGCGAAACAGCTGTTACGATACAGCTGTTCTTAGTATGTAAAATGTGGTTTATAAATTCTCGCTTAGAGTTTTATTTGATCCTTTATGTACATAACTTGTTTTAACTATTGTGTATCCAAACATGTTAACTAATTATTTTAACATAATTGCTCATATTTTTATTTTCTTTTAGGACTTCAGCAGTCAAAATTGGGGCAATATATTGAAAATCGTGTAAATAGTTTTTTAAAGAAAAAAGATTGTGGTGCAGGTGAAGTAACTATAAGAGTTGTAGCCAGTGCTGAGAAGTATGTTGATGTGAAGCCTGGTATGCGAGCAAGGTTGGTTAATCAATACCCCATTCTCTAGGCTAAGTGAATTCTTAAAATTTTCCTTTGTGATAATATTTTTAAAAATTTATTATGCTTGAATGCTCTACAGTTATATTGCAATGCATCTTGTTATGAATTTCAATTAAATTGTATAAAGTATCAATTAAATTTTTTAAAATCAACTTTACAGAAATATGTACTTAATCAAAGTTACTTGCAAAAATTAAAAATAAAAGTAAAAAGCCTACAAGTAAGAAAATTGTTATGTTGCTAAGCTTTTAATAGCATTTGATGTTAAAGTCAGTCCCTGAATGCACAATTCTTGAATATAAAATTTTCTTTCTGTTAAAGAGTAGAATTAATAATGTATGGATGTATCTAATGTAACATATGTGTGTGTAAATGGGAAGGAAAAAGCAGATTTCATAAAAGAAAGATATTGTTTGTTAGTAACACATTAATAAGTGACTATGAGTATAATAGATAATTGTGACCAATAGTTTAAATGTGGATTTCTCACAAAATTCAGCAGTGAGTAAAAAAAGAGGAGGTGTCTGAGCATTAATTAAAATATATCACTAATCAAAAGTTAAGACCAAACACAGTGATAAAAAAATTAATTCAATAACTTAAACTTCTGTAAAAAGGAGAAAACTTAGAAAGTTTTGAATATGCATTTCTCATGCTTTTCAATGATAAATCCTTTGTGCTTTTCATTGTTCTCGGTGTCTTTTAACTAACCCCTAGCAATTTGGCTGATTTGCCAGAAAAAAACAAAAGTAAAAGACGAATGTTAACACAATTAATTCTCTCCCCTATCTTAAGTTTCTGATCTGTATTCAATTATCAGTTATGCAAATGACAAAATGTGTTCTTCAAAAAAAAAAAAAAAAAAAAAAAAAAAAAAAAAAAAAAAATCAAATTACAAATACCTATAAGCATCATTGAAAAGTATTTTATTTTTCAAGTATTCTTTGGCTCATCTTTGAAGCACAAATTAAATATGCCTTTTCAAAATTGTAAAAATTCTTAGTGTGCTTGTTACACACTACATTGTTGAAATTTTTTACATGTTTTCAGTTTTGTTTTTGTAGTGTTGATAACGCTAAACCCTCCTCTCAGAGTCAACCGAATGCAGTGGTATAACCACAGTAAAATGCACCTATGGAATGCAGTTGATGCAAACCATTCTTTTTGAGAAAATTTAAAGTTTCATCCAAATTCAAATCTCTGCACCAGAAACTCATCAATCTTTGAACAGTTTCCATTCCAACAATTTTTGAGACAAATGAAGTAAAGTCGAGCAGTTTTGGGGCCAAGTTAAAAACTGATTTTTTTTCTGGTTCAAATGCGAGAGCTGAAATATTTTCCCCTTCTCGACATGTATCTTGTTGCATTTCGGCAGATGTGATCGAATTTTATTTTTCCAAATGAGGCATTTTCTTCTGATTTGGCACAGTGGTAATCAGCAGTGAAAACCCTAGTGCATTTAGAAGGACAAGCAAGAAATAAATTTAAGAAAATAATAAATTTGATTACCTTATGTAACAAAAATTTGAAATCAATAAAATTAAAATGACTGCAATTTCTATGTACAGTCGATTTTGGATAATTTAAACTTCTTTAATTTGATTTCATAGATAATTTGAAGTTTTTTGTCAGTCCCTTGAAACTTGTGTATTCACTTAATGCTACAAAATCTTGGTTATTTAAGTCCAACTTCTTTAATTCAAAGTTTCTAACCTTTCAAAAATGACAAAATCTAGTTTCAATGCAATTATTTGAAAAGTGGTTGGGTTGTTTTCAGTTATTGTAGAAAATGTTTTAGGGAAGAGAAGGGGAGGGAAAATATTCTTTTCTGGTTCAGAAAGCAGAGCAGGGATACCACCCTTACCTGTCCTTGTATACGGAAGGGACCACCATCCTTCTATTTTTCTTACTTCTATTATTTTGGCACCCCTCCTTTCCTTCCTGTTATTTCCTTTTATTTCCTACTTTTTCTTATTTTTTTTTAAAAATCATCTGTCATTTTCTGCTATATTTCTGCCCCTTTGAATATAGTGACGCCAAGGAAACGGAATAACGACTCATGGTCAAATTTTGCAACTGCACCTGCTTCTCAATTCATTCATTTTGAATGGGGTGTGAGAAGGAGGCAGAACATGGTAGAACATGAATTCTTTTAAGTACCTCAGCTTCTGTGTCTACTTGCCCAATTCATGCTTAACTGGAGTGGAGGAGAAATAAAATCCCACAGCATAGAGGGGAATAAGATTGTGATGCATGTCTTTTCCTTCTGATTTCGATTAATGTTTTAGCAAAATGTTAAAACCCAAGTTAAACTCCAGATAGTATTAATAATCCTGTACCAGACTCACGGTGAAATTGTCATAGAACGTTACAGAGTTTTAGCAGAAAGATTTTTCCTTTGAAGTAAAAAAGTTTAAAATTCGTTTTTACAGAAATTTTAGAAAGATTTTTTTCTCCTTATAATTATATTCATAAGATGCCTTATTTGCAATCTGAAAGAAATTTTTGTGAATTTTCTCTTCACATTTGAGAATAATGAAGTAAAAAATTTCGTTTTTCTTTCCTCCTGAAATTTTCGAAAGATTTGTTTTTCCACCTGAAATTGTATTCAAACAACGTCTTTCACGCGCAAAAGAGTGAAAAAAAGCTCACGATTTTTCTATTTTCATTTGTTAATAATAATAAAAAATAATGAAGAGAAAAGTTTTTGTTTTCTTCGAAAGATACGTTTTGCTCTGCAGAACTAGTTTCATAAGATGCTTTTCTCGCCCATCAAAGGGGAAAAAATGCTTCTGATCTTTCTGTTTTTGGATAATATTGAATAAAAAAAAAAATCTTAAATTGCTAAAGTTTAAAATATAGTTTGCTCTAGAAATCATGTTCTTTCTTTTTTTTTATTTTTATAACGATCTCCATATTGTACATTTTAATAAAATTTAAATGTGAGAAGGGAAGGGATTTTATTACCAATTCAGATTCGTAGCAAAATAATTAGTCCATGGGTTACATTTTTACGTACTTTTTTTCTTTTTTTTTTTTTAAAAAAGAAAATTTGGTTGAAATAAACTCTCCAATATTTTTATATATTACGCACATGAACGTTTTCAATCACATTTCAGTCTTCACTTAATCTTAATCACTCTTAATTTGTTTTTTTTCTTTCTAAATCTAATTTTTTTTTAAAATTAATACTTGTGTTTTTTTAAAAAAGATATTAATATTATGACATGCTTGGTTAAAATCTCTCTCTGACATGCTTGGTTTGCACCGATATCCTCGTTAATCTGTGCATGTTTATATTGTTCTTTCAACAGTAAGGAATTCACAGCTGTATAGGAATTTTCCTTTTAAAAAAAACAACAAATCTTGATGTTTTTTTTATACAATTTAAAAAAAACTCGAATCACTTATATATATCACAATCTCAAAAACTCACTTATTTATTTTTAGTGTGACAATTTCATCGTTTTTTTCTTCTTTTTCTAAATAATATGATCTAATAGGTTATTAATCAGATTATATTATTTCTACACTTGAAATTTGAATCACTTTAAATAATCACTTTTTAAGGTATTGAAGTTATGCTGATAGCATCATAAATCCTGTTTTAATTGTGTTTGCGGCAATAATTGACATTGATTATCACTAGGTTTTTAAATATCCCAATATATTTTAGACAATATGGGAAATTCGAATCGTGCATTTGAATATTCAAATTTTATCCTCATATTTTTAACATTTTTTTTGCAGTTATTGCTATTGATTTCTGCACAATTTTTAAAATCCGATATTTTTAATATGATATTATTTATTACAACACTTGAATCTCAAAACATTTAGTAATTTCTTTTTGAAGATTCCGATTCTTCTAACTTCGCCTTTAATCTTTTTCTCTGTTGTTACTACTATGGATTTCAAATTTTTAAAATTTTTTTTTTATCTTACGTGATTATTTACAAAATACAAAAAAGGAAATAATTCATGCGTCCCCCTCCCCCTGCAAATTGTGAAAATATCACCCATAACATTAGAATAAAAGATATATATATTCAATTAAAAATATTATGTACAATTTTATTTTATCCAAATAAGTTTTTTTTTTTTGTTAGCAATATTTTTATTACTTTAAATTAGTAACTTGTATATCGGTTATTAAAAGTATCTGACAGAAAGCCAGAAAGAAAAAATTTTGCAAATGGGTTAATAATAATTGTAAGTAGTTGTATTGTAAATTAATAATAATTGTAAAATTCAATACTGATTGAACATTGAATAAAATCTTAATTTTTTTAACATAAAAAAATTTTCCTTTCCAAAAGAACTTCTTTTCGTAAAAAAAATTATATTTGAAATTAATGTGTTTTTAAATGTTATAAAACAATAGTTTTTAATATGATAATATTTTATTTATAAAATGCAAAATTTGGCAAAAACAGTTTTTTAATAAATACTTTTAGCCCAATTTTATATAAATATATTGTTTATACAAATTGTATATTATATTTATTACTTCTGCATCATAATTATATTGTTAAAGGCTCAATGAAAAGAGTAAAAAGTAAAATATCTGTCTTACTTTTACACTTTTAGAGAATTTTTGATCTTTTCAGCAATTTATTTTTAATCACTGTTTCAAAAATTTATATTAGTTTTGTAGGGACGTAGATATTTTTTACAATTTAAGTTTTATTTTCATGAAAATGTATTAAGCTACTCTAAAGCGAATTTTTATTTGTGCTCCTATTTTTTCCAATTTTTTTAAATCCTCCTATTTTCTGAAAATTTTGGCTGCTGTCTCTGATGTACGTGGTGCCCTCCCCTTCCCTTGTAAGTGACACGTGGTACTCTCGCCAATGTGATTAATCATAGATGACACACGTTGCAATTCCTTCGAAACTGGGACTGTAGTCAATATCACTTGAGTTTTCTTCATTGTACTTTTAGTTTTTTTGGTGCGAGTTCAGTACAAGCATGTCATTGAAACATGTCGTTTGTTTAGAAATTAAATAGGAATAGTATATAGAAATAAATATGGTTAAAAAAGTTAGTTAACTCATTAACTTGTCATGAAAATTGCTAAAATGAGTTTTTGTTCAAGATGTAAGGCAATTTTCTGTGAAGAGTTACGTCTTGTATTAAACTCTTAATAGTCATATGTATGATTTTTTTTTATAAAATGTTTTTTTTCTTTAAATTTAATTTATAAGTATTGGCATGAAATAATGTTTTTGTTTTAATTTTTTATAGGTATGTTGATAGCGGTGAATGGCCGGATACATTTCCATATCGCGCAAAAGCTTTATTTGCGTTTGAGGAAATTGATGGTGTGGACACCTGCTTTTTTGGCATGCATGTACAAGAATATGGTTCTGAATGTTCTCCTCCGAACACAAGGTGGGATAAACATAATATTTTTAGATGATTATTACCTTTTATTTTGTCACATATTTAAATTTTATATTTATAATTTTGTTTAGGATTGTAATATCAATTTTTTAAACGGGTTGATATATTTATGTGTATGCAAACTAAGTTTATAACTGAGTCAGTCATTTTAAAAATGAGTCTTTATTATTTAAACTTACAAAAACTTATGAACACCAAACATACTTGAATGAGATTTAATTATAAATGTATGTGAAATGTATCTCAATTTGTCAAAAAGTATAGATTGCTTATTTTAAAGTCATTTCATATCCAAGTTATTATTTTCATCTTTAGCTATGGGCTTTCATATTAACTGCACTCCTGTACTTGTATCTAATTTTTCTTATAATATTAGTTAGTTAATAACTGTTCATTTAATTTTATGAAGCAAGGATGTCTAACTTTTTGAGGAAGAGTGCTATTTTTGGAAGAAATTTTTTTATTTTTTTTGGCCGAAGCATACACATATATATACAGTCATTGCCGAGTGGAAAGATAAAAACAGATCTTAGGCAGGGAAAGTGGGCACAAAATTTATTTAATAATTATTAGACAGAGAACAGTTATCAAAGTGACACAAAATCGTTGTGCTCCTCAATAAAAGTTAGGGAAAATTTTGCAAAGTAAATCTGTAAAATGTTTTGTTTAATGTTAAGGGAAAACTTAGTAATTATAATTGGTCTGTTAAATAGGTCTAGGAAAAAAGTTTCTCACGAATTAGTGAAAGGAATAATCGTCAAAATGGTAATTAATGCATACTTGAACTAAAAATAGATAAAAAGGCAGGATGTGAATTTTAAAGTGTGAGAAAGAGCGTTTCATTTTGAATAATAAATTAAGAAAAGGATTTACAGAAAAAGAATAACATGAAAAGATTAATTGAAGCTTTTTATGTTACACACTCATATATATATATATATATATATATANTTGGAATCTTATTCATCAGAGTTCATATGGGTACCTTCACAAATTCAACTTTAGGAAAAACGGTAGTTTCACAAAATACTTTCTCTTAAAATTTTATTGTTATAACTTCTCTGTGTGAAACTATGGCATGTGTGCCATGTGTTGCCCATTACTGATATATTGTATAAATGCCTAGTCAAAATAGTTGTTTTTCATAAATTATTTTGTGTGATCTTTAATTCAGTAATTGCAATATATGCTAAGTTCTTTACCTTGAAATTTTCTTTAGTTTATCAACTAAAAGACATTTAATAAATAATAATGAAATTGAGAAAGAATGCAACTTGAAAATCTGCGAATTGAATCACTATGTTGATTGTTGTAATGAGTCAACATGAATTTGATCTGTTATTCGTAAATCTCAAGAACGTTATGTATGCGTTGTAAATTGCAAAAAAAATTAATATTTGTTTATTATATTTTAATAATAGAAAATAATCATACTGTTAAGTTGTTTTAAATACTAAAAAGTTTCGCGTGATATACCGAAATGAGCATTTTTAATGCTATGGCACCTAGTTAATTTCAAAAACATAGTTAGGAAGTATCAAACTTTCTTTACATTGATGTGATCTTTTTCTTTTAATTTAGGCGTGTATATATTGCTTACCTCGATAGTGTTCATTTCTTTCGTCCAAAACAGTTTCGAACAGCTGTTTATCATGAAATCCTTCTTGGTTACCTTGATTATGCGAAACAGCTTGGGTAAGTGGTACTATTTCATTGTTTTAGTTTGAAATTAATTTATTTTTCACTTTTTTAAGCATGAAATATCTATGTATAATTTGAGTTTCCTAGAAGATGGGGAATAATTTTTTGTGAGAAATATCTTTAATCAAAAATTCAAATTCAAAATATATATATATATTTTTTAAAGTTTTATATTAAAAACTTGTAACTCGAATACATATAAATATCAAATTCGTAGAAATCGAATTCAAATACAAATAAAAAAAAGTATGATTTTTTAGGTAAAGTATGTTTTGTATCTGATTTCGTAAATTAATAGTTAGCACTAATGACTGGCTTTGGACCTTATATATTTGTTAATAAAAACTCCATCTTCAAGTTTTTTAGGTTATTGCTTTTTTTTAAATTTTGTTCTCTATACAAGAGACAGGACCTAATGTAGGCAAGTTTTATAACTTTATTTAAAGAGGTTTACTATTCATCATTATGATTGTATCCAGTATTTTTATATTTAAATTTGAGCACTTTTCCTCATTTTTATCAGATACATAAGCTAAGTTGGCTGTATACTTTTTTAATAATCTATTTTTTTAAATAAAAAGTTGGTTTTGTCCATACAGACTAATGTGAAAAAGCCACAAAGTCTATATTGACAACTTATAAAAATCAAGTAAGATAAAAATGGAACTAATTTTGTTCTAAATTAAGCAAATAATCTTTACAATATTTATTTTAACTAAAGGTAAAGTTCTAATAAAGTAAAGAATTTTTTTTTTATAAAATTGGTGCTGGCTACTACTACTAGTTGAGTAGAAAAATAATTTTATCACAAAGACAAATTTGATTTTTATTTTATTAAATTATATGATAAATCAAAATTCAATAATCGCTGAATGGCTTAGTTATTTTGTGCAGTTTTGGAAGTGCATGTTTTCTAAAAACTGCGATAAAAATAATAATAATCCCATTTTGAATTTTTAAGAATTATGAATTTGTAAATGCATTAGTTTTTCTTAAATTTTCTACTATCTAAGAATTTACCAAATTAAAGGTGGAAAAAATTGTACATAAATTAAGTTCTTAACAAAATTGACCTAATTTAGCAAATAAGTATCCTAATAAGTGACATATTAGTAATTAACTAACATTATTCTCACAGAAAGCTTAATATTGTCTTGACCATAGTATCCTTACAACTGTGTATACAGTGTGCTAGACAAAAGATCATCCTGAGTAACTTATAATCAAATAATTGAATCGTCAAGTCTGTATTGAATGATTAGACCATCATGTCATTGCCATTGGATCCATATCTCACAAACTTTTAATCAAATTAAAAAAAATGTTTGCAAAAAGTTATAAATTTGTTTATTCAGCGATGCAAAAAATAGCTTTTAGTAAATATCTGCTATTTTTTTATTATTTTATTTAACAATGGTCAGAATTTTTTTAAATGTATGACTTATTTTTTTGTGCTATTTTTAAAGAAGGAAATTTTACAAGGGAAATTACAAAATTTGACTGAAATCGATCATATACTACGTGAGAAATCGAATTTTAAAAATATGACTGGAACCTCAAATAATTAAGATTGATTTCTAGAGTGTGCTGATCCGATAATTGAATCAAAAGTTTTTCACAGCTTACCTTTTTTGCTCAATAATTGAAGTTCATTAATGGTTAATAAAAAAAGGGGTATTTTAAACAGTTAATAACCGCAGATGTGCCAACTCTCTCACCTTTTGCGGGAGTCTCCTGCATTTTGTGTTCTTCTCCTGCCCTCTGGAATTGATCCGAAAATCTCCCGAATTTTACCTCAATCAATGGCCAAACTTAAAATTACCTGATTTTTTCCATGAGTGTGAAAGTTTTGGTTTTCTTTCAGCGTGAGTTCCATTACACCTTGTATTTTTTCATTCCCTCTTATCGAACTACCACCTGGTTCAAGCGCAGCTGCACATGCTTCATTTATTTTTCCTTCTTCAAAGTTTCCCTTCTTTTTTCACATTTCTATTTGACCCACCCCCTTACACACAGGACTCGTAAGAATCTCCCTTTCTTTCTGTATGGGCAATTGAATGAGATGACATCACAGGACGATACCAAGTGGCGTCAAGACAGAGGCGGAAAACTCTGACTGTCTATTGTTGAAATCTATACTTACTGTATCCTTCTGCTTTTATAATTTTTTAGTGCATATTTTTTAAACCGTTGGCAGCTAATGGATCATTCTTTTTTTCAGCTGTTGGCAACAAACTATTGTAAACTAGTTTGTTTACTGAAACAACGTGATTTCCATTATTTGTTTTTTCTTTCTTTAATAATTTTTCAAAATATATTTTAAAGATGTTGAAGTCGAAACGGAAATATGCAACCAATTTTAACCAATCATATACCAATGAATTTCCTTCAATTATTGCTGCGAGAAAAGGAAGTATGTATGTTTTTTGTTCCGATTGTGCAAGTGATATATTAATCACTCACGGAAGCAAGAATGTTATTTTGTTGCATATAAATGGACAAAAGGATAAAGAAGCAGTGAAACAAGAAAATTTCTTTCTGCATTGATAATGATTTTGTTATAAGGGCTTAAGCATGCTTCACTGCATTTTTGATAGAGCACAGCCAGCCTATTAATTGTGCTGACCGTGCTCTACCATTGTTCCGACAAATGTTTCTGAATGATAGTATCTCAAAAAAATATGCTGCGTGTAGAACAAAAACAACAGCCATTATAAACAAAATGGCTTCATATGAAAAAGAATCTGTTATAGAAATAATAAAAAATGTCCATTTTCAGTATCAACTGATGGTGGTAGCAACAAGTCAGATGCAAAATTTTATCCCTTTGTTATTATATAAATTTTGCTAGGTTGGCACATCTGTAATCATATCTGTTCTTATCATTCCTGTCATTAAAAATTATGAAAATTAAATTTTGTTTAAAGAGATAGTTAAAAATCAAATTAAGAATTAATTTTTTCACCAGAAATATCATTTTTTAGAAAATTGATACTCAACAATCAAATGCATCGTTATGCAACTGCACGTTATGTAATGCAGTTTTGCTAATCACCCGAAGTTAACCGAGATTTTTTGAGTTCTCAAATATTGAAATATTCCAGCAGTTCACATTAATTCCATAGCCCTCTCTCCCTTATACAGATTAAAAGCATCATGGAAAACAGATATTAAAAGCAATGTTTGTAAATATTAACTATTGCTTATAATACTGTATAAATAGTAACATAATTGTTCAGAAAATGAAAATTCTTTTTCGAAGTTCTTGTAGGGTACGGAACCTCATATCCCGAAAATCAAAACTATTTTCAGCCTAAATTTGGGAGGAGATAATCTATTTACTTATTTTAGAGAAAAGAGATTTCAGTGATTAAAAATGTTTTAACATTCTGAAATTTTTGCTATTGGTTTATCCTAAAAACTACTAATTTTTTACCGAGTGACTTTTAAATTGATTTACTTTTTGATTATATACTTATAATTAAACAGTGTTGTAAAATCCAAATGATGTATAGTTTTTACACCCCAAAAAAATCATGTACAAGTTTTAGCAGAACTGAAAACACTGTTCGATAGATCAACACTTGGTGTATGGTTGCTAAAACGACTCATATTTTGTTATTCAATCATATGTCAAAGTTAAGTGATATTTAGCTCTACAAAAATCATGAAAAGATACAATCTTACTCTGCTTTAGTACTTATCCATTTACATTTGGAGACAGTAATTTGACTCGTCTTGATCATCTTAGAATTTTAATTTATTATTTTTGGTAAAATTTGCCTCGGGAAATATTTTTTATTTTCCTTTTCTTGTCATTCAGAAAGACATTATCTAGCATAAACATCAGCATTATATTAGCCATTTGATTAATATTTACCATTCTTTTGTGATCTAAAAGACTATAGAAACTTGATATCTGACACCTTCCAATAAATATTGTGTTTTTTCTACTGTATTCAGGAAGCATAACAGATGTCTCATTAAAACTTTCTGCTTTATTAAATTCAGTTACTTAGGCAAAATTGAAGTAATGTCTTTTGATGGTGTTGCTTTTTATTTTTGTTTACATGCATAACCTTTTTAAATCGTGAAGTATGTCTCTTCTTTCTTTTAGATACACAATGGCTCACATATGGGCATGTCCACCTAGTGAAGGGGATGATTACATCTTCCATTGCCATCCAGTTGAACAAAAAATACCAAAACCTAAACGGTTACAAGAATGGTATAAAAAAATGCTTGATAAGGGTATTCTGGATAGAATTGTCATGGATTACAAGGTATTCTCTCCGAATTTCAATTATTTCATCTTACATTAGTAAAACTGTCAATGTGTGTAGAGTTTTTAAAAAGTGGGTAAAGGTGCTTATTTTTCATTTTCATTTTTTAAAAGTCCTTAAAAATGCTAATTTTTTGTTGAGTTTGTAAAATGCACCTATTTTTCTTTTTTCCAAAAAACGATTTTTTTCTTTGATTGTTGCCATGAATTACACAAAAAGTCTGGTTTTCACAACATTGTCGTTCAAACACTATTTGTTTCGTTAAAGCATTAATTGTTTTAATATTTGATGAACAATTAGCGGGTTTCACAAGAGACGTCCAATTTCAGGCTTTAACTCCTGACCTCTGAAATCAAACAGGAAATCTCTTGAAGTTTTACTGATTTCAGGGATTGACTAGGCATTTCCCAAATATTTTCGCTTATAGCAAAATGAAATTTGGCATGATTTATGTCACAAAAAAGCCCATGATGTTCGTGCACTATTCTGTTTCTAGATCAGTACCACCCACGCTCATTGAATTTAATTTGGGTCTCGTTCACCAATTAACTATTTTCATGTTGATCCAGAACATTAAACAATTACAGATCTTCACCACTTCTAAATTTTTGTCTCTCTTTTGTTTATTTGATTTAATAAGTTTAAAAATTAATTATGATTTTGTAATGCAGTTAGAGGATTTTGTGTTTAGTTTATGTATATATATACTGATTAATATTAATGTTTTTGATTTCAATAGGACATACTGAAACAAGCTACTGAAGACAACATGAAAAGTGCTGCTGAATTGCCATATTTTGAAGGAGACTTTTGGCCAAATATTCTTGAAGAAAGTATTAAAGAACTCGACCAGGAAGAAGAAGAGAAGAGAAAAGCAGAAGCCTCTGCAGCTGCTGCAGCTGAAGCAGCTGCAAGAGCTGCAGCTTCTGATGCAAATGGTGAAGCCGAGGATAGCATGGACGTGGGTATCTTTTTGTGTTTTTAAGCTGTCTTTTATTCACAGACAAGAATTAAAATATAGTTAAGAGTTAGAATTTAGAAAAGAAATACATTAAATTCTTACTTTAAAATACTGATTAAGGGCTCCACCAAATTTTTGACAAAAATATGCATTTTTGAGGGGTTAAATGACACTGGTTGTGAAACCGATTACGCCTCTCAAATTTAGACACAATTACATAACATGTTTGATACAGTGTAAGTCAAAAATCTTAATGATTGCAAAATAGATTTCTGTAATATATTTTATTTTTAATTTTTACTTGCTGCATTTGTCATTTCTTTATTTGGAAAATATTGGCTCGATCACAATCTATGCAATCAATGAACAAATGGAATTGCGAAAAATAAATTTTAAATATTTAGTTATTATAGAAATATATTCATTAAAACTTTACAAGAAAACTAATAAGAATTAGGAGTGTGGGGGTACTGAGTACCGGCCAATTACCCAGTACCCGACTTTGCTGGTCAGATTTTCATAACCTGGTTATTACTGGCACCCAGTAAAAAACTGGGTACCCGGCCAATCGTGGTGGGATATACAGTGCTAGGTAACACTCATTTATGTTTGACACAACCGTATTCTGCCTTATAGTAACCTTAAAATTGTTCTTATTAATAGTTGTATATTTGGAAATCTATGTATTCCATCAGTTTCTTTATAATAAAGCAAGCTGAAATAACTAGTTTAGGCATGACATATTTTACTCTTATACGAAATTTTAATTCAGTAAAATCTTGGTAAAGTGAATACCTTAGGAACAGCTTGGTAAATCGGATACTTTTTAGATAAAGAGAGGTGTCTTTGTTAAAGAGAAGTGTCTGCTTTGGAAGCGGGCCGAAAACAATTTTAACTAAATATGATAGTTGAATAAATGCAAAATTTGAAATAAGAAATTACATTGATAATTATTTGAAGTTAATAAAATCGTTAGGAATAAAAGTCAAAGATAACCGCAGAAAAATATGATATATGTTTATTACTCTCATACTAAGCTTGCTTTTAGCAAATGAGTAAATACAATGGTCTGTTTTTATTATTTGGGTTTTTAGGCTTAGCATTTCATCAAAGTATTACTCAAGTTAGTTGCAAACAAAACATTAGAGTTTGCGTATGAATGACTAATTTGTTATTCAAATGCTTTAACTGATTTAGACATCAATGAAGAGTAATTTCCTAGCAAATAAAAGCACAACTTAGCCAATTTTTTAAAACAAAAATTGAAAAAAAAAAGTTTTATTTTTAAAGTAGTTTTTATTCAAAAAAAAAGAAGAACCTTATTATTCTTACATAACTAGAAAAAGAAAGATAAAAAAACAATTCAAAAACATTACATTTTCAGTCTAATTTGATTTTTCTTTATATTAAAAAGAAGTATGCATGATAACTTTAAATTTTACTAAAAAGCATGTATTTAATTTCCTACCAGTCTAATTAAAGTTCTTGTACCATCAGCCTAACCCATAGGAGGGTATTGTATTTTTCCCCTCTGTATAATATAAGTATACATTACTGCGTCAGAAAAATTTTAAGATTAAAGCAAATTTTCCCTTTATTTTTTGCTTTGGATTATCAGCATTACATAGGGAATAAAACAGAATTGCAAAATATGATACAACAAAACCACTTGTAATCGTTACATTAAGGACAGAAAAACTCAACATTTGTTATACTAAAAAATTTCTTACCGAATATTGAAATGTTAGAGATTGTATAATGTACCAAGGTAAATCTTACTGCACGCAAATTGCATTATAGTTATCATATGATGAAAAATTGATACCTGATAGTTAAAACATTTTTCACTTAAAACTGTATAAAATCCCTTATCTGGACGCCCCTTTCCGGAAAGGATCATTCTCTGGCATTTTTTTAATATTGAAAATAAACAAATCTCTTTATTTCCCCCTTTTTTGTACCTGGAGGCTTAAGAGAACCAGGTGTCATTTGACTCTTGTTCTCTACTTCTACCTTTTGGTGATTTACGCATTGAGCCCATAAATCGCCAGAAGGGGAGGAAGAGAAATACCAAGACCATTCGTAGTGTGCTGCTGCTCTGAAATGCAGAAAGAGAGGGAGATTTGTTTAAAAGACTGCAACTAAATCGTCCCCTGCTCTCGTAATGTCCAAACAAGTATAGCAACTGGTTAAAAAAAAAAGGAGCATTTTTTTACCTCTTTATTAGATTGCTAGGGAAAGAGGAACTACGGTTGAAAAGGAAGAAGGAAGGGTAAACATGACACCAGTTACAATAAAGGGGGACTCCAAATGGAAAATCTGACTATGTTTAAAAACATGCATTTCCTTAAAAAATTTCATTCTTCCCCATACTATGTAATATTTAAGGGGTAGAGAATAAAGTAATTGTTTTTTCTTTAACCATTGGCATGAAAATGACTTTAGGAACCCTCTTCTAAATAAATATATACTTTACTAATTTAAGTTCCATTAACCCCAACCAAGAATTAAACTACATATCTCTGAAATTCATCTCTTTTTATTTCTATCTTTCGCTAAAACATGCAGTATACCTATTAATACATTAATAGGAACTGTAATTGAACTTGGAAAATACTCCAGAACTAATACTTCTCGCCAAATATTTTGTACTTAAAGCAATTCCGCACGTCCTATATGTTCGTTTTTACTAATCTTGCTGTATGATTTAAGAAATTGTGAGTTTCAACTGCTTGTTTTTTAATTTACTTATTTAGTTTTTGGTAAGTTATTATTTTTTTTAATTATGGTCTTAACCACACACATGCTATTAAGCTTAAATTGAGTTATTTTTATTAAGTTTTATTGAATTATTGCTAATTGTATTAAGTTTTATTAAGTTATCTTTCTGGATTTGCTTTTATTTTACCTACAATGTTTTCACATCAGTTGAAAAAAGAAAAAAATGCTTCTTTATCAATTAAAGAAAAACGGAATTGCCTAGAAAATTAGACATGGGTACTTCAGTGTCTCAGCTATGTTTCTTTTTACTTTTGATATGTTTGTTGTTTGCTTATTTTAAAACGCATGTTGTTTTCCCCCTCCTTCAAGCGGCACAAATGTAAGCAATGATGAAATCGTGGTAGCAAAACAACTCAATAAATAAATTAATAGTTTCCAAAAAATCTTTAGAAGGCTTGAACTTGGTAGGGTTACAATCATAGTGGCGTTTCACAACATGAAAAGCATTGTTAAAAGTAGTATCACATCTTTAATTACTGGAAACAGAATATCGCGCAGTATTTCAGAGGTGAATCTTACTTCAGCTTTTTAGCACAGGGTCTTAGGCTAAATTTGTGGAGTTTTCAGATCTATTGATCACTATCAGTATTCAATTAAATAAAAATACAGCTTTAACTTTGGTGTGGTTTGTAGCCTACTGATTGCCAGGAAATATTTTGTTTTATAAATCTTTTTAGGTCCTTACCAATTTATATATATATTTCTCATTTTTTCTTTTATTTAATAAAAATTTCATTTCATAAAAATTTTGCATTTTATATTGTTTATAAAACGAAATCCCTTCCTAGGGTAACCAGAAAGGACAGAAGAGTAATCGCAACAAAAAATCCAATAAAAGTAAAAACAATCAAAGGAAAAATAACAAGAAGTCTACTGTTCCATATACTGGAAATGATTTGTCAGCAAAAATATATTCTACAATGGAAAAGCATAAAGAGGTAACATTGGCTGTTCATTATTTATTAATTTGATAATTAATAAATAATAATTTGATAATTAATAAATGATAGCTTTTGCATTATCTAAACTTTTTTTTTATACATTAGAGAGATGAATTATAAAATGTAATTTGACTGTGGATTTTATTACACTTCACACAAGTCTTAAAATCTCTATTCGCAATATCTGTATTAAATGACTTTTTGAACATTTCGAAAAAGTGCTTATTATTAGTAAGTATACTTAGTCATTATGTTAAACTTTATCCATTTTGAAAAAATTACTTTACAGTGAAATCTTTTTAATTTATAATTATAAATATTGGATATTTTAAACTACCTTTAAATTTCTAATATCCACTTATGAATTTTACTATATGTTAATATTTTACTCCTAATTGTAATTTTTGCTATCTTTTTTTTTATTGATTTAAAATCTGATTCTGGGGAGAATCATGAAATAATGTAATATATGTAATCAAACCTATGAGTATCAAAAGATATCAAGATTATAAGGGTAGTTCTATAGCTATCTTTAGACAGCATTTTTCTTATACATGATACAATTGTAGCAGTATATATCATATATTGCCACTGCTTGAACTCTGAATAATATCAGCTCTCAGAATAATGTGTACAGGGTTGTCACAGACTACTAAAATGCAACTATTTGCTACTATTTTTGGCCATGGGCGACTATGGCAACTTTTTTTGCCTGAAAAGGCTAAAAAAGCAACTATTTTCAGGAATAGGGGACTATTAGGAGACTTTTTTTTACTCTTGGCGAAGTTGTTTCTCAAAAATGAACATTACTTTTCAGAACGTTAATAAAAGAAAGCAAGCCTTTATACAATCATTTATGTCCAAAGAGCCAAAAATTTAAATTTCCATTGGATTTAATAAAGTACTTGTTATATGTTCTCTCTGAGGGGCAGTTTTGTTATTTTTAATTCTTTTTTCCTTCTATTAACATTCATATTTTATTGTAATTCGACTTTTATATAGGTACCTATTTTCTAATATGTATACCTTTTATATTTGTAAAAAATGTTTTTTAAATTGGAGCATAGTTAGGACTGGGCGATAAATCAATGTATTGCGAAATATTGATTTAACGCATATATCAGTAGGCCGATGTAGTGACTTTCGTTTTAGGCGATGCATCAGAAATCTGATTTAAGCTGCCGGAATTAGATTGCAATCGCGGTTTAACGATTTAATATGCAAAGATCCTTGACTAGGCTAACGCTGTTACCATCCTAACGAAGACGATTTTGATTTCGTCTAGCTGCAGAGATTTTGCTATTAAGATAATGTTAGTTTTGTGATGTTGAATGATGAAGAGCGAATTGAATCAGAACTCCCAGTTTCGGGCGAGGATCAGCGTTGTAATATAGAATGCAATGCATAAATTCTTTATGTCCATTTTTGTCTTTGGGATTTTGCGTTTTTTGAAGATTATTTTCAATGGGACTTAAGTCATTTTGTGATCGTCACGCATTTTATTTCTTCAGAAATAATTGTCGGGTTTCTTGTAAATTATTTTCAGTGAGACTTTTGCAGCGATCATTTCGTTCTGCATTATTTCATACCATTTTTTTTCTGTCTGGGTTTTAGTATTCTTGTCAATTATTTTTAGTAGACCTACTGTTACGTTGCGATTGCTGCACAATCGCTGTTATCTTAAATTTTTGTTCTGAATTCAATCGATCAAATCATTGATTTTTTTTTCAATAATTGGTTTTTCTAATAATCGGATCTTCACATTTTAGGACTCAATCTTAAAGGTTCAAGGGGGTGATGTCAAATATGCTAATTAATTAGTGCAAGTGATATTTTAAGTTAAGAAATCAGACATAAAAACATACTTTCTCTAAATAAACACCTTTTTTTAATGAATTTCTAATCTCCAAGATATAGGGAGCAACTGCAATCTGAAAAATATGGTCCCCATAGCTTGGTTAGGAGAGCAATCCAAAATTTGAACTCCTTAATGTTAATTTTGAGTATTTCGCCATATCTTGAGAACTTTTTAAGCAAATTGAAATATTTTTTACACAATTATAAAAATTCATTTATCAAACTATAATTTCATGCAAAAAATAAATTTTAGTAGATATTTATTATCTTTTATTATTTTATTTATATATTAGTCGAAAAAAATTTGAATTGTAAGGCTTAGAATTTTTTACATCATTTTAAAGTATTTAATTTTACTTGGCAATATCCAAAATTTGAGAAAAATTGGTTGAATAGTTCTTAAACGATTGAATTTTATATATACTGCTTTTTCGAGATTCAATTTCTCAAAAACTAGTTGACTGATTTTGCTCAAATTTTGTATTTAGCCATGTAAAATAAATTTATTAAAATTATGTAATACCTTACAATGTAAAATTTTTTCAACTGTTATTAAATAAAACAATAAATATTTACTAAAGTTTATTTTATGAATGGAAATTATTTTTGGATAAACAAATTTTATAATTGTGTGAATTTTTTAAAAATTTCTCTTAAATTCTCGAGATATGGCGAAATGCGCAAAAAGTAAAATTAATATTAAGATTTTCAAACTTTGAATCATTCCCCTGACCAAACTATGAGTGCCATATTTCCCAGGGTGCAGCTACCCTCTATATTTTATGGGTAGAAAAGTATTTTTATTCTGAGGAATTACGATTTTGTGCCTGCTTTCATAATTTAACATATCGTCTACACCAATTAATTAGCATAGATCAAAAGTTATTCAGGATGGGACCGTTATTTTTTGGGAGGAGCACTCAATTATGTTCTATAATATTCATTATGTCAATTTTTAAATCTTACGAAAATACTAATGCTTAATGTGATTTTTCAAAGTGGATAATGGCCTGGAGCACAAAAATGACCCAATAAAAAATAGAATAGGAATATGTATTGACCGCTTTATAGCAATAAGACATTTGGAACTTTTGTGCATTTTTTCTGAAATATTCACAGTCAATATACTTAAAATTATTCACATACTTTTATACAGGGTGCTTTAACAACTCATGACCAATTTGAAGGAGCAAAACTATCTTTAAAAAAGACAAAAATTCCCATTTTGCTCTTAGGGTTGCAAATTATAAGTGATATGCAATGACAATAAATAAAAGTTATTCTATGTCATTATATTTGTATTATTTTTCAACACATGTTTACATTTATAATTTGCAATCCTTACAGATCCTTTATAAAATTAAATAAATTCATTTTCTACTGGTTTAAGGGAATGCATTCATTATTTGATTTAAAAAAAACAATAAACAAATAAACATAATTGATGTTGTTTTCATTATAGGTGTTCTTTGTAATTAGACTACACTCTGTCCAAGCTGCTGCCAGTTTACCATCTATAGTTGATCCTGATCCATTTATTGCATGTGATATGATGGATGGTCGAGATGCTTTCTTAACGCTTGCAAGAGAAAAGCATTATGAATTTTCATCTTTACGAAGAACAAAATTTTCAACAATAGCTATGTTATATGAGTTGCATAATCAAGGACAGGATCGATTCGTTTACACATGTAACAACTGTAAAAAACATGTTGAAACTAGATACCATTGTACTGTTTGTGATGTAAGCATCTTATTATCACTATTACTTTTCAATTTAAATAGCCATGCACACCTTCTAACTGCTACAGATTTTTCAAATATTCTAAGGAAGATTTTTCCTTGTGGTAGCAAAAGTTGTTCTTTAATATTTTATTCTTGTTTTAATAAATTAAATTTTAAAAGAACTTAGACCTTTCATAATTTAAAAACCAATGTAATCAATCACCAATGTCCTTAAGTGCTAGCCAAATTTAAAATTATTCTTGTTTTATCATTTTCTGTTTTAGTTCCTTACCACTAGAAACAGCTACATGTTGCAAACAGTTAGTTGTTGAAGGCCTTGTCGCTAGTATATTATTTAAATTGAAAAAAATATCCCTAATTTTGTCACTCTGCATGGTCTCTACAATGCAAGAATATTTCAACTAAGTTTTACTTGTAAGTTTTGAAAAGAATGAAACACACCATAGGTCAAACTCTAGCATGCATATCTTGGTATGATATAAGTAAAAGGCAGGTGGGAAAGAATGAGATTGCAGTCAAGCTTGCTTTGAAACAATCAAAATTAAAACTTTTTTGTGAAATCATTCAGTCTGGGTAAAAAAATAATTTTCAGTTGCATAATTTGACAAATTACTTTTAATAGTGCAGTACAAAATCCTCTCTGTACATAATACATAGATAGCCAGATATTAATACTTAAAAATCGAAGAATTCTGCCTGACCCATTTTTTAAACAGTTCATAACAGTGCATGACAGATGTAACTAAAACAGATCAATAAAAGGGATTGCCACACATGAATATTGAGAGGTGAAATCGGTTTATGCTATAGGTGTTGTCATTTCCAAAACTGCAGAGACTAAGGATAGAGAGAAAGCACTCACAATACCCTTAATCAACCATTTTTGTTCAATGATATATCTGATCTAAATAAGTTTTTTCTAAAAATTAACTTTTTTTGAGCTTTTCTACCAACAAATTAAACATTCCATCAAAAATAAAATAATTTTGCTTTGAATTTGTTTTGCATTTGTATGATGGTAGCTGGATGTTGCTACTATAAGAGCAATGTGCTACTTATGAAAAAAAGGGCCTCATGCGTAGGAAAAGTTAGAAAATATTTTTTCTTAAACAGGTGCAATTATGTTTGCAAATGTATTTGAATTTTTAAAAAGCTAAGTTTTTAAAAAATATTATAATGCATCTAAATGCAGTAGATTCACTCTCTTGTGAAATAATTTGATTTCAGTTGAAAAATTTACTATAAAAATGTTTTTTTTTCTATGAAAGTTATAGATTCATGCAAGCATTCAAGTAAATCTGTATGTAAATATTAAGTTTTTGGTCAATGTAAAAATTTTAAAAGTATAAATATGCAGGGCCCATGCTAAGAATTTCAAATTATTAGATAGTAAATTAGCGAAATATCAAAACTATTTGCCGAACGCAAATCTTAACAATATTTTATATATATTTCCTTTCCAGTGGAAGAAATAATTCACCTAAACACAATTTTATGCTCCAAATTTATGATTTATCACATTTGGCGAGGTGGCGGATTCTTAGCGTGAGTCCTGATTATGACTTAAATAAAAATAAATTAATACATCATATAAAAAAGTGATGAAATGAATTTTTTTCCCCTTCATTTGTAATAATTCTTTTGTAATAATTTGTTCCTATAATGAACAATTCAAGTGTTTACCTAAGAAGACAGAAATAGGCACATGAAAGAAAATTGGTTACCCAGAAGTTGCAAATTTTCTTCAAAATTTTACATCTGAGTTGTCTAAAATATTTGGAGAATACTTTTAATGTGATTTAACATTCCAATGAAAAATTTTGTTATAAGAGAAAAACTTTCTTTTGGGAGACTTTGTTGTTGGGTAAAACTTTAATGTATTTAGTAATACTTTAATGTATTACTAAATCTTAAAATATTAAGAACTTCATGTATTCCTTTAACACTCTTCATTAACCCTATTTGCTCTAATAAAAAATTATGCTTCATAATAGATATTGATGTGAAAAATAACATTATTTAAATTTGAGGTTTTTCATTATTTTGCAAAGGATAATAAAGTTTTTAAATATAAGGAAAAAAAAAAGAATTTATGTGAAACAATGATATCTAAAAAGGAAAATAAATTTTAAAATCTAATAAACGCATCCTAAATTGTACTAACTTAATACTACTAGCTTATGTATATACTGTGGTGTACTAACTTAAAATAGCATCTGCACTAACTAATTAGCATATTTGAGGTCACCCTATAAAATAATTAAGATAGACTCCCAGTGAAAATCTGATCATCAGATCAAAAGTTTTTTTTTTTTTGTGCACTGTACAATAAGCCATTTAATTAAAAATTTTAACTTTGTTTTTAGGACTTTGATTTGTGTGTAAATTGCTTTGACAAAGATGGACACAATCATAAAATGGAGAAACTTGGATTTGGTTTGGATGATGATTCAGGAACTTGTGATCAGAAACAAACAAATCCTCAAGAATCCAGAATATTATCCATTCAACGCTGTATTCAGTGCCTTGTTCATGCTTGTCAATGCAGAGATGCTAACTGTCGTTTGCCTAGCTGCCAGAAAATGAAGAAAATTGTACAGCATGCTAAAAGCTGTAAACGTAAGCCCAATGGAGGCTGTCCTATTTGTAAACAACTCATTGCTCTTTGTTGTTATCATGCCAAACACTGTCAAGTAAGTTAAGAAGATCCAGGTTACACTCTTTTAAATATTAAGCTTTTATACAATGTTTTTTTTAATGAAGTATTTCCAGTGTTCTTTTTGAAAATTTACCCTTTTTTATTATATATATCTAATATATTTAAGACTTCTAGTTCTTTATTTACTTATAAAGATTAAACTCATTAAAGGTATTTTCCTGAGAGGAAACTGATGCTTTGTAATTAACTTTACTAATTCAGTGAAAATAAATTAAAATAACAACATATAATTTTATATTTCTCTTACAACATTTTAGTTTGTAATTTTTGTTGCATTATCATAGCTGCCAACCCTTCCTCATTTTGCAGAAGTTTCCTGCATTATTACTTATTTAAGCTATTTTTTATGTCAGTTGTTTTATGCGCAGTTTATGTCAGTTGTTTTATGCGCAGAAGATAAGATCTTCCGCAATTTACCCGTCCGCCCTATAGCTAGTATTTTTTTTAAAAGACAGACGTCGATGCTCCTATAGTAATGGCCGTAGGAAGCCAGCTTGTGGTAATCCTCCCTTTCCTTCCATTTACGTCACATCGTTCAGTGTGATGTAATGAATTTCTCCTCTCTTTTACCAATGAGAGAAGGAATTCAACTTCAGTTGCGGGAGCGCTTCCCGTTATCACGTGACTTCCTGTTTGCCAGCACGAAAGCAAACATTAAAAGAAAATGGCTTGTGTAAAAGCAAAACAGCAATTGGTTTCTGGTGATATTTATTTGCACATTAGATTAATCTTGTTAATTTATTATGTCTGAACGAAAACAATACAAACAAGCCTTTAAGGAGTCTTATTTTCTTGAATTACCATTTATTTCTGGATCGAATCTTGGAATACATGATGTACGTTGCAAGGTATGTAAAAATGACTAGCATCGCGCATGGTGGTAAAACTGATATAGTCAGACATGTAAAATCCACAAAACACCAGAAGAACAAATTTTTTTTAATGTAATTCTTTTTCCATAATTTCTATTAAGTTTATATATAGGGCATACTATTACAATGGAAAGTCGCGTATCCGGAATCGGCGGGACTTTCCGAAGTCCGTATATTTTATTTTTCCATATAATTGACCTCCAAGGTAAACAAAGCTTAAAATGATCTGAATCTAAGAAGCAGAAAATAAATAACATTATTTTTCGGGGAATAATGTTTTAGTATTAGAATGATATCTAATCAATCATAAACAAAATATTAGAAAAAAAATAATTATTGCTATTCTAAAAATAAATATAGAAAACGGAAAAAATTCCCAGTTATGAAAATAGTAATTGCTCTCTCCACCATTTTGAACTAGAACGATTCAAGCAAGAAGGGGAAATTCCCGTCATTCAATAAGGTGGGTAGGTGGAGATGCCTCTGGGTATTGAACTCAGGTATTTCATAATGACAATTCAGTGCCTTAACCACTGAGGCTTGATACTCAATAATAGTGTGAGCAATTTTCCATATATATATACACAGTGGAAAGGTGCGTATCCGGAATTGGTGAGACTTCCGGAAGTCCGAATGTTAGATTTTTCCATATAATCGACCCCCAAGGTAAACAAAGCTTAAAACAATCTAATAAACGATCTGAATCTAAGAAGCAAATAATAAATATACATTATTTTTCTGGCAATAATGTTTTAGTATTAGAATTATATCTGATCAATCAAAAACAAAATATTAGAAAAAAAGAATTATTGCTTAAAATATAGATAACGAAAAAACTTTGACAGTTATGAAAATATTAATTGCTCTCTTCGCCTAGAATGATTCAAACAAGAAGGGGAAATTCCCGTCATTCATTAAGGTGGGTAAGTGGAGGAGAATAATTCATTTCCTCCTTATTTGTTATTCAAGTTGAGGGTGGGGAAGTGACAAATTCTTATTTTCTCTCTGATCATTGGCTATCAATCAAGCATAAAGGCACAGCATGCTGATTAGGTTCTCTTTATTTTTTCTTGTGTGACTGAAAGTGACTACCCCTCCACGTTAACGTTTGCTGCGTTTACCCTTTTTCACAGTATTTCTGCTTTCCCTAACACTCCTAATCACTCACATTCCTAAAAAGGTTTCAGGAAATTCCTCTTTTACTAGCCAGGTGCATAGAAAAGAAGGGGGAGGGCTCCCTCCTTTACTGCATTCCAGAGGAAGAGCGTCACTAATGGTCATTCGACGGTCTTGGTAGATCTTCTCTTCCTCTTTCTGGTGGTTTATGGGTTTAATGCATAAATCATTAGAAGCTGGAAAAGGAAAAAAACGTGTCAAAAGATCTCTCTTTTTTTTAAAAGAGGGGAAGATGAAGAGACGTGTGTTTATTTTGATTGCTAAAAAGTGCCCGGGAAATCGACCCTTCCGGAAAAGGGGCGTCCGGATATAGGACGTTACAATGTATATATATTATANTCCGGTTTTCTGAATCGCTACAAAAAGCCGTATTTTTTTATTGTTAAACTCAACTAAAAAAAATAATAATTTGGAAATAATCTGAAAAAGAAGAAAAAACGATGAAGTAATACACTAATGATTATTTCCAAAATGATGGTAAGGTAAACATCTTTCAAAATAGAAAAAAAAATCCTAAAATCTTATGAGGAAAAAAAAAATTTTTTTTTGAAAATGGCGGGAAAATTTATCGAATTTCATTCCGGTTTTTTGGTTTTCCGGTTTTCTGATTTCCGGATAACGGGTTCTGTACTGTATATGGAAAATTGCTCACATATAAACACACGCACACAGAGTGCATGGAAATTATTGTATTTTAACATATTCTTTTCAGCACAGAAAAAGGTTTACTTTTTTCCCTGATATATTTTGAACTGCAGCTGATATTGCCTTTATATTTCATCAAAAGTTATTTTAAAAGTTATAAAAAGAAATAAAAGATTTCAAGAATTAGAAGAAAAAAAAGTTCTTTGAAGAATTCACTTGAAAGTCACTGATCAAAACTCATTCAAGAATTGAAGAAGTTAAATGCAATGCCTTTTGTAATTCAAAACTACCCATTTTCTTCTATCCCAAGATTAGGTGGGCACAAATGAATAAGGGGTGCAAATTACTAGTTTGGTACATCAATACAAAATCAATTACATTGAATGCATGTTCAAATGGGTCTCTAAAAGACACAGTGTTAAATAAATTTTGTATTTTTGAATAGAAAACGGTTGTTTATTTTTGCATTCATCTTTATATTTTGGTATTTTAAAATATATTTTTTATTTAGGAAGCCAAATGTCCAGTTCCGTTTTGTTTGAATATAAAACACAAACTAAGGCAGCAACAGTTACAGCAGCGATTGCAACAAGCCCAGATTTTGAAAAGGCGTATTGCTACTATGACCAATCGTGGAGTTTCTGGTGCTGTGCCGCAAACAAGTCCTGGAAGTTCAAATTCAGCAAGTCAGTCTTCTCCTGGTCAACCTTCCCACACCTCTCCACATCCTCCTCAGCCTGGAATAGGCATGAAACCATCAACTGGTCCTCCTGTTGGTGCTCTACAAGCTGTGCAACAAGTTCAGGCAGCAGCTGCCAGGCAAACTGCTCCTCATATGGTAACAACTTCAGTTAGCTTTGGTAAAGGTAATCCTGTTGTTAATCCTCCTACTCCAAACCCAGTTATAGCTGCACAACCAATTCAAACTCAAATGCAAAAACCTATGAATCAAATGCTACCTAATGTACCGAATCGTATGCTTGCCATGGGAAATGTTGCATGCTGGGATAATCCATCTTATTCTCAGTCGCCTCACCCAAGTCCCCAGCCTCCTCAACAAATAGGTATGAGACCACAAAACCAGTTAATGGGACCAGGATCTATGCCTGGTTCTATGGGAAATACTGTTGCTTCAATGGGTCCACCTCCTCAGGTATTAAATAATCCAGGACCTTCTGTATCCATGCAGAGGCCTACTCAAGCCTTACAACAATTACTTCAAACATTAAAATCTCCCAATTCTCCTCAACAGCAGCAACAGGTGTTAACAATTTTAAAATCAAACCCTCAATTAATGGCTGCATTTATCAAACAGAGGACAGCTCAGCAACAACAGCAGCAGCAACAACAGCAGCAGCAACAGCAACAAATGATACTAAATGATGGAAGTATGATAGCTCCCCCTCATCAACAACCTAATGTCTGGTACAAACCACAGCCTCATTTATTAACTATGCAAAGACAGCCTCAGCCAAATCAGTTTCCCCATCCACAACAACCCCTGATGTATGCTCAACGTTCAAGAATGCCCATCCCTATGAATTTTGGTCATCAACAAGGATATCAAAATGACAATTCTCAATTTCAGTTTCAGCAACAGCCACCACAAATTTTAATGCAATCTCAAATAAAACAAATGACTTCTCCCACACACCCACCAATGAGTCCACAACAAGGTATTCTTGGTCACCCTCAAGGTCCTGTGCCATCTCCATCTCAACAGCAGCTCATGCAACAAGTTCGCTCACCTCCTCCAACTTCTGTACATTTATCTCAAACAGTTCGGTCCCCCCAGCCCAGTGCATCACCTCGAACTCAAGCAAATACCTCTCAGCCTATTCCTTCACCTAGGCAGCAATTAGTACCATCTCCTCATTACCCTTCTCAGACTCAATCACCACATCCTAGTCTAACTGTTGGTACATCAGGACTGTCAGGTCCTGATCAAATGACTACTAATAATGATATGATGCTAACACATCTGACAAACCCAGTGTCTTCTCATCCTAGTATAGCTACACAGCTTCAGAGCCCAGTTAATCAGGAAAACATGGACTTAACTCATCTGACCAGGGAAGAACAGCTCGACAAATATGTTGAAAATTTATAACCTTTTACATTTATGGTTTCATCACTTTTGTTTCTCAATTTAAAAGATGAAACCATTTTGGCCCCAAATCTTTGAATACAAATCTTTTATAATAAACTCCTGAGAATTATTGTTAGTAATACTCTGTATAGCAATATAGTTTTTTTACTATAAATCGTTATCAAATGTTTTTAGTGAATTTTGTACCAATTGTGTTAATTTTGCATAAATGTAAATGTGGTCAGTGAAACATCTGTTGCAATGAAAGAAAGTATTTGATAATTGTTTTTGTTTTGCCAAATGTTTTATTTGTTGTCTTACTCTGATCTCGTAAGATTCTTATAAATTATTCAAATATTTATTGCATTTGTACAGTCATTTGTTTTAAAATTGGTTCTGAACATATATATCATATCATTTCTACCAATATTGCATCTTTGTTTATACTGTACCATAAGTATTTCATTATATATCATAAGTTTTATTTCTTTCTGAATTGTGATATTTAAATAGTTTAAAATTATTTAGCAATGAATTAATTATCATACGAAAAAATGTTAATTTTTATTGTGCACATTCCAGAGAAAATCAAGTTTATTTTCATTGTTTATTATACTTTTTATGGAATTAATATTGGAAAGACTTTAGACTTATTTTAAACAACTTTTGATATATAATGATATTTAAACAAAATAAGCTGAGTTTCCACTTACAGCATAATTCTCTGATTGATGTTTTTTAAAAAGGATATTTCTAAAGCAATATGTAAGTAATTGGCCAGATCATGAAATCATTATAGCAATTATACTATAAGCATTATTACACTTGTTATTTTCAGTTAAAAATTCTGAAAAAAAAAGTTGTGTTTTATGAAATGTTTTTATTTGATATTTTTGTCTATAATTTAATATATTTTTATTTGGATTAAGTTATACCATTTCTTTTTACTAATGAGCTATTTTTTAATGATATTAGAACTTTAAAATAATGATATTAATTAATTCACTTACTGATTCATGAATATGCGTTATAATTATTTTAGTGAATGTTTACTACATTCTCTGCTTTCTTTAAAAAATCATTGACATTTTATTTTTTAAATATGTAATAAATATTTTAATTTTAAATTTTTTTAGTTCTTTTTAAATTAAAGCCTTAATTTTAACAAAATAATATTTTTTCAAAATTATTTTCCGAATCTTGATTATAATTTTACCTGTGGGAACTCAGGCATGTTTTAGCAATGGTATTTATATTGGGTTATTGTATGTACCAGAATTTTGCAATATGATTATGAAGTATGCTTGAAATTTATTGTTTCTATGTATACAGCAAAATATATATTCTTTCTATGTTTTGTGTAATTTTTATATGCTTCGAATGTTTATTCTTTGCAAAGTTAAAATTATAACATTACAAAAATCATTTCTTTCTTCAAGAATTCATAATGAATAATATCTGTTTTTAAATTGATTCCAGTTTTTAATATTCAGCATAGAGCTGAAATTTATTTATACGTTGAGCGCCAAGTTAAATATGAAAACAGTGTCATAGGCCATGGTATATAGTCGAAATGGAGTTTATGCACTAAGATTGCTATTGAATACCAATAAAGAAAGAAATCCCTTGTGTCTAAGCATAATTGCTTTTTTTTAAATGGCACTCAGCAATATAAATGATATGAAAATAAATAATAAACTCATAGCTCATCATTGATTTATTGACTATTAGTAGCGTATGAATTTTTTTATAAGCAATGATTTTATCATGATTTTTTCTGTAAAATGTAATAATTCATACTCCTAAAATTAAGATGCTATAAGATGCTTTTGCTATAAGATTTATATACTCATTTAATTTTATGATTGAAATACTTGTTAAATTCTATGATTTAAATACTCATTTATTCATTTGCAGCTATCAATGCTGTTTATATATACTATGATTAAGTGATTTCAGAAATACTCCTTTAAATACTTAGTTTATTTATTTGCAGCTAACGTGATCAGAAGTTAATCCTTTTGTAAAAGTTTAAAGTGTTTGCACATTATTGTAGCTCTTAATTTATGTGGAAATTTTATTTATGTTATTTATTTTTATATTGAGATAAAAATTTATAATCTTCTAGTTAAGAAGTATATTTGTTTTTATGAATTATGTAAAAAAAAAGAAAGAAAATATATTACTATCAATTATTGTACATAATATAAATATATATATATATACATACATATAAATATATGTGAATATGGATATGACTGAGAGAGTGCTATATAAAAATGAGGTGCATGATAAATTTTTATTTACATAATTAATTTATTTGTAAATAAGTGCTTTTGGGCTCATTTATTCATATTTTCTTTAAAATTTGAATTTTAATCAGAATCGGAAATTATTATTTAAATAAGATGTGTGTTTTTAAAAATTGACTTTTTTTTTCCTTCCTACCCACCTCATTGAGTTTCTGAAGTCCAAATATTACCAAAGTTCACTTAGCATGAACGAATTCTGTTTCTTAACATGAACTGTAAATGTAGCTTTTTCAGATACAAAAGCTACATTTTATGACATAGCTATTAATATAAGTTGAGGGTTGTATTAAATATTTATATCTTTAGAACTGGAAAATATTTCATACTTTTTAACTTGCAAAATACTTGAGAAAGTGTTATACACAAACATAAAGATGCCTTTCTTTTCTACGTGGCTATGCAGTTTAAGGATATTAGAATAAGAAAAAGTGACAATCAGTGATAGTGATTATAACTTTCTTCTGTTATAATAATATTAAGTAGTAATAATATTAAGTGTCTTAAATATACAAAAAATATTTTTGAAATAACTTGTATCTTAAAATATATCTTCTAATTATGACAAAAACTGAAAGCTAAAAATTTAAGGTAAAGAAATTTTTAATTGGTAATAATGTTTACTTTTACTGAATTCTCATATTTTGCAACATATTATTTACTATCTTTGCAAAATTATTAATTTTAAATTTGATTAGAAATTAATTTAACATGAAGCATATTTTAAGTCATACCATGTATAAGATAAGATATTATACAAATAATATTTAATATTTGAATGTAATGTACCTAACACCAAAATATTTGATAGTCATTGATAAAAAGATTGATACCCAATTATTTTTAATATCCATTTTCTAGATTTGCAATCTGCAATATACACTTTTTTTGATGTATCAAAAGTTTATTCAGTTGTGACTTAAAAATAACTATTCAATTAATTTTTGACGCACGCAATTGTTTTCTATGTCTCTTATGATTTTAGAATAATTTATAAATAGCTTTTAATAACTCTATATATTCTTATCCTGCATTATCAAGCATCACCAACAGTATTTGCTAGGAATGTCAGATTAATAATGAAATATTAGGCGTTTACACAGCTATTATATTGATTGGTGAAATCTAAAAATTATGAAATGAATGATGTAAATATAAAATATTTATGAAAAATAGACTTTTTATTATGCTGTGCCAAAACCCATAATTTAAACTACGAGTTAAATTTATTTAGAAACTGTTATAAATGTTATGTGTTTATTTGGTTTATTTTTAAATAATTGATATTTAATATTAAAAAAAATCAAAATTAATTTTTCTTAAATTTGTTCCAAGTTATACTTCAATACATTTATTACAATACATTATATTTATTAACATTACATATATTACAAGACCGTACATTATTTACATTACATTCAATACATTTTTTTTTTGTCTCTGTTAACTAAAAGTTTGTTATTTATTTGGAATATGTTTAATATCAATAAGTGTCCAAATATGGTATACCTTTATTTTAAGTTTAAGGAAATAACTTTTTGTATACACGTCATATTGCTTACTTTGCATGTCATATTTGGTAGTTTAAATAATTGCTTTAATTTAATTATGAAACATTGATAATACCGTATTTTTACTGTTCTTACCCCCTCCCCCTTTTCTTTTTGCAAGTTATATTTCAGTAAATTTTCTGTCAAGTTGATTTTTGAAACTTGTTGACAAGTCTATAGAAATAGGTTTTAAATCGAAGTAAAATTTGCAAATAAAAGTGAAAAGCAAGGTTGTCAGCAATAATGTGCTGAATTTAAATATTGTGGTATCCTTAACATTACTCGATTTGGGCTCTTGCAAAAGTTTAAAAATTTATAGAAGGAAAATTTTAATACCTTTTGTCTTTCTTGTGTTATATGCTGATAAATTACTTAAGTATTAACTGTTAATACTATAAAAGCTGCTCTATATAAAAATCACATTTATGTTCATGATTACAAAGCAATTTTAAAATTTCATGGTTTAAAAAAATTTTGTTGTACTTAATTTATTACATTTTAAATAAGTAATATTTCCCTATATACATAATTTGAAAATTTTATTCCAAAATAATTGTTAATATTGAGTCCATTTTTTCTGATTTATTTATATTAGTGGTAATAATAAATGAGTTATTTCATGCAAAAATAAAGGGAAAACAAAATATTGTTGCATTTGTTATTTAAATTTTCCTACGATCACAAAATTATATAGATATAGCACTTTTTAAACTGTGTTTTGCTGTATCCTGCAAATGATGTGTTAATTTGAAAAACCCATAAATTTTTTTTTTTTTTATAAGTAAACGCAATGCAAGTTAATCAGTATTAGATACATATAGCAAAATGTATCTCTGAAATAATTTAAATGTGTTCTTAAGCAAAACATGCCTGCAACAAACATATGTGTTGGCATTCAACTAGGTTTTTTAATTGAAACTGCATAAGCTTATTACCTTGTATGACTTAATTGATGTTTGAGTAGTTCCTATTCAATGTCAGTCAAAATTTATATTAATCAATATTTGTTTTTTTATTTCTATGCAATATGAAAAAGGACTTGAAATGATGTACGAAAGGTATATAAAAAAAACTTCTCAATAATTTGTACAAATAATTAACTGGAGTTTAAATAACCATTTCCACAATATTTAATCTATAAAAAAAATAATAATTGTTATGTTTATTCAGTTTGTGATGGTTGAAGATAGTTTTAAAAGAGAAATTTTTAATAATTTAAGTAATTTTTAATATTTAATAATCTATTAATTAATTAATAATGTTTTTATACTTGAAAGATTTTTATGTGACAAATCAGCATTTGCTTTTGATATTTCATTTCATTTTTTTTCTCTGGTTAACCAAATTTTAATTAATTTTAATATATTTGCTTTTTGTCCCTTCTTATTTTTAATAAAACCAAGTACAAAATAATTAAAATTTGACTTTCTTTTGGTTACCAATATACTCATATTTAACTTTATAAATATGTTTAGTTTGTTTCAAATTTTAAGTCGTTTTAACGATATATGACAACTTTTATCTGTTGTAAATTTAATTAAGACTATAATTCTACTTAATTACTACATTTTATATTTAGTATTTCTTATACAAGTAATCTTTCTTTTATAGTTTATAAAAATGATTTACTGTACCATCTCTTTTGAGGGTGGGATTCTTCCTATTTAGTAAACTTAGTACCTGCAATAAGTTTATCAGACTTAATTTATTTAGCTACAAATGCTTATAATGAATTAATAAAGTAAGTGATACCAAATATAATTGACTGTCTAAACTCTTGCAATGAAATAAGTGAACATGAGTCCATTATGTAGCACATAAAAATTATTGCATGCAACAAGCATAGATTATGCTCTGAGAAAAATTGTCTGTGAATCAGTAAGTTTTTTGTTAAGACTTTCGCAATAAAATTACATTTTGTTTTTTTTGTAAAATATTTTCTCAAATTTACTTATTTCAGGAGCCCGTATTACTGACTATTGTGGTTTTGTAAGCGTTAAAGTAATTTTTTTTATCTCAATATTTTTTACTGTTCTTAATCATGCATCCATTTTTATTTGAATTATAATTTTAATGTATTTGTTTAATCAATTAACTTTGGAATCAAAATATTATGATTTTGCTGTATCAAATGTTCTATCTAGCTGCAATGTCATTTTGTCTGTGAATTGAAATCGAATAGTATCGGTCTGTAACACATGGTTGTACCTATAATTCATTTCAAGTGATATTAGTCAGAGTCCTTATAATTTATAATTGGAAGTGAATCTTTCATTTACAAATAATCCAATGCAAATAATATATAATCATATGCAAATCTTAAGATTGGAATAAAATAAGTGTCTTAAAATTTATGAATAGCTTAAAAAGTTTTCCTTTAAATTTTATTTGTTCTTTTTATATAATTCTTAATAAAATATGTAATAATATTTGAAGAAATGTTTTTGAAAAATGCTTTAGCTGATGTGTGTTATATAATAATACTTACAATAAAAGTAACTAATAATACTTGCAATAAATATAACTAATAATATTTACAATTATTATCATTTCAAGTGATATTAGTCAGAGTTCTTATAATTTCTAATTGGAAGTGACTCTTTCATTTACAAATAATCCAATGCAAATAATATATAATCCTATGCAAATCTTAAATCTGGAATAAAATAGTTGTTTTAGAATTTATGAATAGCTTAAAAAGTTTTTGTCTATAAATTTTATTTGTTCTTTTTATATTTCCTGATAAAATATGTAATAATATTTGAAGCAATGTTTTTGAAAAATGCCTAAGCTGACGTGTGTTATATAATAATACTTACAATAAATATAACTAATAATACTTACAATTATTATGTTATTATTAAGAATTTATCTATTAAATAATTGTAAATATGAATACTTGCTTGATTTTGGTTATTAACCAGGCAAATAATAGTTAGATAGTTTTCCTATTGATTAATATATTTTGCTTTGTTTTAAAGCCCAACGACACATTTTCTTCTCAAATTAAAATTAAGTTTACCTATTGGTATGTGTCATTCTTTTTAGAATGGCTGAGCAACTGAGATAGGATTCCCACTAAAGAGCTTATAAAATAAATCAGGGCATATTATTAAGCCCGAAACCAATTTGCAATATATATTTTTTATTTAATGTCAGCTCTAATTATCTCTTATTGTCTATGTAGGTATAATAGAAGAAAATGTTTTTGCATTCAAAATTATTTAATTTATTTAAGGACTAGTTTAATTTTTTTTGTTTAAATCTAGCTTAAAAATAACATAAAAAAGATTTCTTCCTTCTTTTTTTTCTTTTTTTTAAAAGAAGAATATATATGTATATTCAATCTTGTTTTTTTTTTTCAATCTTGCATTGCTCAATATCTGTGTATCAGAATCATAATTATTTATTGACATATTTTTTCGTGTAAATAAAAATAAAATCACTGTATTTTATTAATTGTGTTACCAGAAATGAATTTGCTATACTCATTTGAAATTAGATGTACAAATCTGTGTTATGAATGATAGAGTTTTCCCAAAGATTTGTACAGATTTAGTATACGTGGAACCCACCTTCGTTTGTTTATTCATTGTAAATTGAAACTTTGTTAATTCGATTGTGGTTGGATTGTTCTTGCATTATAAAGTGTCCTGATGAGGAATGAATATAGCCATTTGTTATATGTTCTCATTTGTGTCTTATTTGTACATAGTTGTTTGTTATGCTAACTACGCGAAATTGTTTTGTATATATTGTCTACGTTTCGAATGATGCTTAGGAATGTTTTAAACAAAAGATCTTTTTACTATGTATTTTGTTTGTTTAATAAAACAATTACATTAACATTGTATATATAAATCATATTCGTTTTTACAAAGAAATAAATTCTTGTACATAAAAGTTTAGGGAACAGATTAAATTATGTTCAGATGAGCATTTGCATACAAAGTGAGAGCTATATTTAATAGCTGTCTTATATTTCCACGTCTGAAATTATCACTGCCAGGATAAAGTTTTGTAAATAGTTGGGTATTATTCAGTACTCAGAGTATATATCCTGATGCAAGTGACACTTGAGCTCTACTCACAAGTTAATAATTGTAATAAACTATATTATACTCTTATGTTGTTTTGCTTTCTTTTTAATAATAAAGCCAAATCATTCTTTAAATTTTTAATAATTACTGTAATCTCAATTTTTGGATGGTTTTTAACACCTTACTTGCAGAACAATATCAACTATCTCTTAGGCAAATTATTAAAAAACATTTTAAGCGTGAGTAATTAGAACATATTTAGGGTCGAAATTTTTCAGTGGGTATAAATACCGAAATTAGCTCGTCATTTTAAAAAATTTCGCTTGACTACAAATACGAAAAAATTTACAATACTGAAAAAATTCAGTGCACAACAAAATAAATAAATAAACGGACCACCTTAAATAACTTTTGATCTTAATGATAGGATCTTCACGTTCTTGGATTCAATGGTTCAAGGTGGTCAACTCAAATATGCTAATTAATTAGTGCAGATGATATTTTAAGTTGCGAAATTGGACACAAAAACGAACTTTCTCTAAATAAACATACCTTTTTTTCGACGGATTATGGTCGAACCCTCAAAATATAGGGGGTCCTCATTGTTTGGTTAGGAGATCAAAAGTGTGGCCCAGTTAATGTTAATTTTACTTTCTTCCTATTTCATCATATCGCGCAATTATAAAACTCGTTTAATCAAAAAAAAACTTTTAATAAATATTTATTATTTTTACAATTCAAAATTTTGTAGACGAGTGACGATTAATAAAAAATAGTAAATATTTACTAAAAGTTATATTTTGCATGGAATTATCTTAGGTGAACAAATTTTTCAATTTGCTTAAAAAGCTCTCGAGATATTGTGGAATATGTAAAAAGTAAAATTACCTTTAAAGGGTCCAAACTTAGGACCGCTTTCCTGACCAAACGTTAGGGACCATATTTATGAAATTGTGGCTATCTTGTATATTTTGGTGGTCAGAAATCTAAATCTGTCGGGGGAAAAAAAGTATGTTTATTCAGAGAAAGTACGTTTTTATGTCTGATTTCGTAATTTAAAATATCGTCTGCACTAATTAATTAGCATATTTGATGTCCCCCCTTCAAACCTTTAAGATTGAGTCCTAGAGCGCGAAGATACCCTCAAAAGTAATTCAGGGTGGTCCTTTCTTTTTTTTTTAATTTGCCCTCTGTACGTAGTACAGATAATAAAAGGTCCCGCAGTGGACTGATTGTTAAGACACGGTTCCCAGCAGATTACCGAAGTCAAGCATCACTGGCTGCGGTCAATGTGCGGGTGGGTGACCACTTGGATCAGTCTGCGTAGGGACCGAGGGTGTGCTACCGTAAAGTGCTCGACTTCGCGCGCAGGTCGTCGGGCTACCGAAGCGGGGGTACCGTCCCCTCTGCAGAGGATCAAAACTGTGATGGCATGTCTTCGGATCATCCTCCGGGATGGTTCCCAGACCGTCGCCAATAGCCCTTTGTGCAGCTTCAGTGCGACGTAAATTAACAACAACAACAAATAATAAAAGAGTTGAAAAATTATTTCCTTTAATTTCGTGCAAGATTTTTTTCTTGTTTAAACGAATAGAATTTCTTTATAACATATTTTACGTTGTCAAGTTATTCCATGAATGGATTAGAGTTATTCATTCATCAAATATTCGTTTGCCTAGCATTTCAACAGGATTTCGAAATTTCATTATCCTTTTATTTCAGTAAATGTTTTGATTAAGGAGAAGGTTAATAATAAAGGAACTTTTTTGTCCTTTTTTATTTCTTATTACACTTCAAGGATTTAAAGGGATATGGTATCCTTTTTACATAATTTATAATCCAAGGGGTAGAAAGAGCTATCTTGATAGAATCCTGACTATTTCTTAACTATTTTCTTGTCATTTTGCTATTGATCTATTCTCCTAAATGTTTCCTTAGTTATACACTATCAATTTTGAAGTTCTAAAAAAGTGGTAATTGCAGTTAAATGTAAATATAAACTTAAAACAAATAGAAAAAAAATCTCTCATATTAAAAAAATTTTGCGCAAGTTGGAACTTTTTAAAAATTGGTTAATTAAAAAAAAAAAGCAAAAAATACACGGAAATTTGCGCAGTGACAAACTTGCCACTCTAATTATAATTTAACTTAAATTGGATTTAAAAAAAAATTCTAACTGTATGAGAGAATAGCAAATGTTTTAAACCGAAAGAAAAATTATACTTTGATGCAAGTTTAGGAAAAAAAAAAAAAAAAAAAAAAAAAACATTATCCCTATGGGGAGAGCCTGTTTGCATCTTAGTGCACGCTAAATGGATGCCAAACTCCCATCGCGAACGTATATTAACATCGCTAACTCTTGAAACGACGTTGTACGTCTCCTTTTTGCTTGCTTTCTTATTAAATACAATAATCAATTAACAACTAATACGATTTAATTAAAATGATATCTAAAAATCGTAAAAATTAAACGTCTTTCTGTTCGCATTTAAAGAAATTCGTGAAAGAATAATAAATATTGTTCTTGCAGGCGATTTTATATTACAGCGAAACAAGCGTAAAAATTCTTTATCTCGCATTTGATTTGTTAAGAGCATGTCAGCAGAAGACACGTCATTTTAGTGGTCCAATCAAATCCAAAGCTTTTGCTACGTCATACAGTCGTTTCTTTTTGTAGAACAAATGTTTGCACAGTCCCATAAAAAAATTTTTTTCAACTATATCACTTGATATTTTTGAATTTCTGCTGTGCCAAAGTATAAAGAAGATTTTAAATAATGATCTCTCCCAAGAAACTGAAGCGGTAAGATATTACTTGATTAAAAGCTTCCTTCGCTTCAAAAATATACAAATTGTAAATAACAGTCGACACTTTTCAAGCACTCAAAAATAGGGACAATTTTCAAGATTTGCCAGATATGAATGAGAAAAAACAAGTGATTAAAAACATAATACGTAAAATTGCCTACGAAAATTGGAAAATATAAGTGAGGAACAAAACTGGAAAAACCACAGTTGCCGAGAGAGAAAAAAGATGAAAAACAGAACGAGAGAAAAAACACAATGGCCAAGAAAGACATATCTGGGTAAAATGCAATTACGCGTGCTATGGAGAGGTGGTAAGGAACTAATGCCGTTAACAAGGGAATCAGCATTCATATGAATAAAACATGATTCCAGGGCATGATTCCTTGATCTTAAGAACTGGATTTTTCTTTACATTTCGTTTCTACAATACAGCTTGGTTTAACTTCACGGCTTTGATCAGGTTTTAACAACAATTCAGTCATAACGTTCAGTGACAAAATGAAAACACACAAAACACAGTGACAAAGCATATGGAAATGTACACAAGCAATTCAAAGTTAACTAACAAATTTATATAAAAAACATAGAAGAAGGAGAGAAAAAAAAATTTCATCACAGAGCAGAAACAGTAAATAGTTTCCTTAGAAGAGTCTCATGAACAAAATGAATCAAATCAGCTAATAATCATTATATGCAATCTAAAAAAGTCTAAGAACCTAATGAGATATATTTGTTTTAATTATTTTCTTAATTTTTGGTGATCTTCTCGCATTTTCCAATGAACTCCATGATGGATTGCAAGGAAAGTATTTAAGCTTTGGGCACTCCAAGGCTAGGTGCTTGCAAAAGACAAGACTGAAGCTTTTGCAGACACAATGGAAGAGCAATTCTCTGTAAATGATGACTTTAAATGATGACTAAAAATTTAAACTTAAGAAAGCACCGGATGGAAATAAAATTACCAACAAAATGATCTGAGCGCTTCCTGATAATTATATTAATCACATTACAGTAATAATAAATTCATGTCTTAAAAATTGCGATTTTCCTAAACAATGGAATGATGTAGGTACTTCATTTACGTCGCACTAGAGCTGCACAATGAGCTATGGGCAACGGTCTGTGAAACATCCCCGAGGATGATTCGAATATATGCCATCGCAATTTTCATCCTCTGCAGAGGGTATGACTCCCTTGCTTTGGTAGCCCAACGACCTGCGCGCGAAGTCCACAGTTTACTGACCGCAGCCAGTCATGCTTGACTTCGGCGTTTTACTGGAAACCGTGTCCTTAAGATCAGTCCACTACGGGACAAACAATGGAAAGAAGCTACCATTATACTCTTTCTCAAACCTCTTAAAGATCCAGTTATGTCCATAATCACAGACCTATTAGCTTATTACCAACACTTAGTAAAAAATTGGAACGCGTCATACATAATAGACTTAAATCCCGCCTGCACATGCTCCCAAATGAACAAAATGATTTCGGAGGGGAGCTCGACACAACAAAATGACTTACGAGGATTAAATTCGTTCGGCAGGGGCTTGCAAATAAACAAATTTCGGCCCTCCTAATGTAATACGTTACTAAAGCCTTTGACTGAGTCTGGCATGATGGTCTCAAAAATAAATTAATGAACTTAAATGTTCCAACTGACAAAATTTTTCTCATAAACAACTACTTAAAAATAAAAAAGGATAATTTACAATTAAAATAAACGATATTCTCTCATTCAATACAATAATAAGAGCCGGGGTACCCCAAGGAAGTATTCTCGGCCCAATATTACAAATAATTCACACATATAATGTTCCTGTCCATAGAGATGACAATTACAGTCTTACAGCTTATTTTGCAGATGATACAGTCTAGTCTAGATCTGTTACAAACGCTATTAATAAACTATAAACTAAAGTATATGATTTTGAAACCTGGTGTTCTATCTGGAAGGTCAAAATTAATGACCAAAAATCAAACCTACTTATTAGTAAAAAGACCTAGACGACTTACTATTAACAATACATTAACTTTCCTTGGAAATGATATTCCTATTGTTGATGCGAGGTCACTTATCTGGGCATTACAATAAATAAAAATCTAAACTGGAATGATCATGTTAAGAAAATAGTAGCTAAAGCCACTGGAATATACAATAAATTAAAATGTCTACTAGGTCCCTACTCCAAAATGCCACTTGAAAGCAAACGATACATTTATCTTACATATATCAAACCCATAATTACTTATGCATCCCCTGTCTGGTGCAATTACAGTAA